TGGAGTTGTTGTAAATACAGATAAGCGAATTTCCTCTTCCTTATTTTGGAGGTGTAGTACTGTCTATTCATTAACATTGCCAATTTCTTTACAACTTGTACTCCCATGAAGCTCAGTTAGCATATATATTTTCTCTATAAGCACATCACAACCTTGGTTAGACTAAGGAACAATTAGACAGCAGTTTACACTACACTTGGGGTCATTTTAAACACGAAATCACCTACAAACATGCAAAGAACATGACACTAAATATACTGCAAAAAGACAGTTGTTTACAGTGAGAGCTGAAACAAAAAGTCAGTGTCACCTTGTTCGATTTCAACAAAAATGATGGTGTTGTAGGATAAGCACTGGACCACAAGGTCTATTTAAACCACCTGGTGGTGGTTCAAGCCCACCAGCTGCTCCTTGGAAACCCTATATAGGGTTGCTATGAGTTGGAACCTATTCCATTGCACTTAACAATAAGAACAACAAAGGTATATGAAGTCTTGGTGTGGTGCTGCAGGATAAGCACTGGAGCGTCCAAATTCACCGGCCGCTCCTTGGAAACATAATACAGGGTTGACAGAGTTGAAACTGACTTGACAACACTTAATAACAACAAAGTCATGTATACAGGAGTAAGTAAAAAAGTATTGCTACGAAACCATAGAACCCTTATACGACAAAAATATCAAAACACAAAGCTATTGTTTCTCAACACATCCTTTATCCAGGTCTATCCACTTCTGAAAGCAGTGTATCCTTCTCTCTAACCCTTCCTGAGTCCTGGTGTGGCACCGTAGGATAAGCACTGGACCACAAGCAGTTCAAGCTCAGCAGCTGCTCCTCAAAACCCCTATACAGGGTCACTATGAGTCAGAACAGACTCGACAGTACTTAACAACAACCCTTCCCTGAAGAATTTTGTGTGTGCTCTTCGATGTACACCATGTCAAAATGGCAATTTTGACATCCTCCAGGGACTTATATCATGTTCCTTTGACATGCTCTTTGGGTTTGAGTAACAAAAAGAAGCCTAAAGAGACAAGGTCATGGCCGTAGAGTAGATGGAGAAAGTTTTCCTAATGAGATTCTTGCATAGCTGCACTTATTTTCCTTGTAGATGCATTGTCAGGATGGGAAAAATAATTCTCTGCACAAATTTCCTGGTCTTTTTCTGACCAATGCAGTGTTTGATTTTCTTAAATTTCTTCACAAGACCCCATGATCACCCTGTATCAGCCAAAAAAGTCTATCAAGATTACCCTTTTAGGATTCCAAGACATAGTTGCCATAAACTTCAGAACTGAACTCTGCTGTGAATTAACTGGCCCAGCAGGACATATAGAAAAAAAAATATATATATATGGTTGTACATGTGTGTGTATATTCATAAAAATTAAAATTTAAGTGACCTTAATTAATTACTTCATTATGTTTTTGTTAGGCACTGTTGAGTTGGCTTCAACTAATAGCAACCCTAGGCACAACTCAGGAGGGACCAGTTGCTGGAGAAGGATATCATGTTTGGTAAGGTGGAGGGTCAGAGAAAAAGAGGAAGACCCCAATGGGATGGATTGACCAAGTGGCAGCATCGATGGACTCAAGCGTGGCAGTGAGGTTGGCCCAGGATCAGGCAGTGTTTCATTCTGCTGTGCATAAGGTTGTGATAAGTTGGTACCGACTTGATGGCACTTAACAAAAACAACAATCCTGAACCATTAAACTTGAGCCCATTGATGCTGCCACTGTGTCAATCCATCTCGTTGGGGGTCTTCAGCTCTTTTTCTCTGACCCTCAATTTTACTAAGCATGATTTCCTTTTCTAGGGATTGGTCCCTCTTGATCTTATACCCGAAGTATGAGAGGCGAAGTTTAGCCATCTTCATGTTTAAGGAGCATTCTGGCTGTCCTTCATCCTACAAAGATTTGTTTGTTCTTTTGGAAGTCCGTGGTACTTTTAATATTCTTCTCCAACACGGTAACACAAACGCATCGATTCTTCTATTGTCTTCCTTATTCATTGCCCAACTTTCACAGGCTTCATGAAGCTATTGAAAATACCATGGCTTGGGTCAGGTGCAGCTAAGTCCTCAAACTGGTGTCTTTGGCTTCAATATTTTAAAGAGGATTAATTCTTCATTTTGTCTAATGAGGTTTAATCAGCTGTCTTTACTTCAAGCTTCAAAAGAAAAATAAATAGGTAGGTACTAGATTGGTACATTTCTGTTAACAGATTTAATGGTATGTCAGGCTCAGAACTAAATGGTGATTGTTTTTGTTATTAAGTGCCATCAAGTTGGTTCCGATCCATAGCGATCTGTGTAGGGTTTCCTAGGAGCAGCAGGTGAGCTTGAACTGCTGGACTTTGTAGTCCAGCGCATTAACTCACAATGCCACACCAGGACTTCAAATGGTTATTAAGGCTTGTATAATAAAAACAGAGACAGTAAAAATACATATCATTTAATTAGCATTGATTACATAATAAATACTGTGCAAAGAACTCTCTAGGTATCCTATTTATCCCCTCAAACAGGTCTCTGTATTGGTTACTACTTTTCTCACCATTTGCAGGTGGGAGTCCTGGTATGGTGCTACAGGATAATACACTGAATCGCAAGGCCAGTTTGAAGAGCATCGTCGGTGGTTCAAACCCACCTGCCTTGATGGCACTTAACAACAAGAACAACAACAGGTGAGAATCTCAGTACTCAAAAGCATACCCAACTAGAAGTAGTGGAGTTAGGCTTCTACTTGCATGATGGTTTACTCTCAATCTCTCATTTTAGAAGGCACTCTAGAAATACAATAAAATACATGTGATGATCTGATAATGATATGGTAATCATACACAAAATAACCTTTAGTACTCTAAGTCTGTTTTTTTATTTCTGTATATGTAAGTTCTTTTTGAGTTACAACTACTGATCTTCTTTCAGAATAGCATTGCTAATACAACTGTACACTTCGAATGCCCACCCAATATATAAGTTTTCTACATTATAGGCTGGTTATTTAAAATATATATACATGGAAAAACATATAGTACATATAAACCAAATACAAATAAAAATCTTTTAAAAAATCATAGAAATTCTGTAAGCAGGTTATGTCAGTCCTATTAAAAATGATTCATCTATGTACAAAACATAATCTTTAAAAATACTAACCCCAGAAACAAAAACTCTTTGGTTCAGCAAAAGGATACTCAATGTGGAAATTCAGTTTATTAGAGATGCACCTTCTTGGGTTGGACCTCAAGTATTTGGCTAATTTTTCAGAAAGCTTATAGTTGGCTTTCTCTGAATGCTGAAGCATGGGTGGACAATGGGTAGATAGAGTTTTTCACATAGACCATTATTATGTGAACATATAGTTAGAAGCTTGAATCATGGAGGAACTTAGATATTAGTTTTGCTCTTCAGTATTCAAAAGAAAGGACAACTATTCATCTCTTCTCGCCTAGAGTGAAAGTAAGAAGGAAAGCACAGACTCATATATGGTTACTAGATCAACCATGGACTCATTTAGCCTGAGACCAGAACTAGATGCTTGTCTTTCACTACCAACCATTCTAATCAAAATCAAAATATTTGGATACTGACAGAAGGGGAGAAAACTGTGGAACAGAATTCAAATTCTTAAGAAGTCCAGGCTCACTGGACCAGGTGAGATTAGAGAGCTTTCCAGACTATAGCCCTGAGCTATTCCATAAACCGTGAGCCAAAACTAACCCCTGAGGTCACCTTTTAGCTAAATAACAGACTAGCTCACAAAGTAAGAATATCACCATAAGTACTATGCATCTTTTAAAAATCTCTTACACGACACTAAATCGTCAACAATTGCTCTAAAACAAAGATGAAAGGGTAAAGGACAGAAAAGCCAGATTACTGGAAACAAACATACCAGAATTGAATTAATGAGAATGTTGATACATTGTGAAAAATATATCCAATGGCACTAGTCAATGTGAGTAATAGGAAAAAGGAACCTAATATGCTGTGTAAACTTTCACCAAAACCACAATACATTACTTACATAGGAGAAAAGATTTAAAAAAAAAAAAAAATCTTGCTTCCCTTCCATTTTGGAAGGGGATGAGCATGGTAAATCGATTTTCAAAAAAATCCACTAGTAGAATTCTTAGTAACAATCCACTGTACTAGCTCCCGGAGCTATTGAAATGGCTTATTCTTTATTCTGGAAGATGACAAGAAGCAAACAGGAGGAAGGCAGATATTAGATGACACTTTTCCTTTCTATCATTTATCCAGTGGTTTGCTTATTTTAGCAATCTAAAATTATAAACACGACTCAATGTCTTTAAAAAGAGTCCTTAACTCAGCAGTGATTAAAGTGCATCAATATTTGCCAATGGGATTTTCATGAAAAATTAACTGTAGGTGTTCTATACTTGTTTGGTTTATTAATGACAACAATCATACAATTGGACTAAATATTTCAGAGTTTCAAAGAGTCAGCAAGTTTACCTATTAGAATTCATTCTACTCTACAGTTAATGTCATACTTTGTTTTGGAAAAATTTACTAGATAAGTTAAAACCTTTCTGATGTCCCATCCTTTAACTACACATCAAAGTCACCTTTAACAAGTGTTTAAAAAAAAACCTTTGAGGTATCACAATTAGTCACAGGAGACTGAAAAGTATGTTTCCTGCAAGATTCTCCAAAAAAAGATAATTACCTGGTTGAATCAATTAACCTATTTATGTTAGAAACAGGTGCCACTTTCTCTGTGTCTTGGGATAGCATAATATTAGTACATACCTTGTTGAATGCAGGTGTAAGTCAAGAGTTTCTATTTATTGTCAAGATTTTGGTAAACCATCATTTTAAGGTGTTATAATGCATACTTGGGAGCTTTGAAAGCTTTATTCTTCCTTTTACATGCGTGACTTAGTTGCTCAAAGGCAAGACTATTTATTAAAATCAAAATTAGTATGATTGGAATAGTGCAGTAGAGTTCAGAGAAAACTATACCTCTTCAACAAAAATAGTCTGAGTGATGGGAGGGAAATGGGATAGCCATCAATATTTGAGTAAAGAATTGAATATATTTATAATTGACAACATCTTAATGAGGCATTATAATTCAGAACAACTTCCATACTAACATCCTCCACCCCAAACTCAGAAATTAATTTCCCCCAAATAGTCTCCCAAAAGCTACTGTAATACTCCAAAGAGAGAAATAATCAAGGGTAGATTATTGATCCATAGAGTCCTCTTCTGTAGTGAATATGCAGTAATCATCACTGTTTCTGTCAGAAGTCTTTATCCCAACCTGACAGCTCATCTGGAGGTACACCTCTTTCTGGAGGATACTTGTCAAAGTAGCTGTGGTCTGTGGGTCCATTGAGCTAGTATGGAAAGGATAAAAAGAAGAGATGAGGATAACGTTGATTCAACATGCTATTATTATATTATTCAACATGCTTTTTAAAATATGAACACTGATTTTATACTGCACTTTAAATGTGCCTAGTCTGAATGGTAGCATAGTGGTTACGAATCGGGCTGTTAACCTCAAGGTCAGCAGTTTGAAACCACCAGCCGTTCCATGGGAGAAAGATGAGGCTTTCTGCTCCTGTAAAGATTTACAGCCTCAGAAACCCTGAACAGGTCACTATGAGTCGGAACCGACTCCATGGCACATAACAACAACAACAAAAAGTCTGAATGGAGATGTGCTGTAAGTATAAAATACACTTGGGATTTCAAAGACTTACTACATAAGAGCGAATATATCTCATTAAGATTTTCATACTGATTACATACATGTTAAGTTCCATATAATAAAAAGATGACTGAAAAGCATTCTACAGTGATAGTGATATATGAGACCTCTTTAGAACCAAATGGATTTGATCATCTTATTTCATTCAAGATGAGCTACCTGGCAAAAGGAAGCATTTCCTAAAGAAAAGGGAACAGAAATTATGTCTAATTTTTCTCAAATTAAAAAAAACACACATTTTAAAGAATATTTAAGAAGTGAAACTTGCAAGATCTCTTCTTCTACTTTATAAAAGACTTTCACAACGCTTGAATCTTTCTATAGTTCACTGCCTATTGCTCCACATAAATCATCTCAAATGCCAAAGGGGCAATTTGAAATATTAGTGAAGGTACTGAAAGAGTGAAATAACTCAAGAACCAAATATTTTCCAAGATAGGTGACTTCCAATTCTATATTTTAAAACAAATTTAATTAGGATTCAAACTGATTTATCATCAGATAGACCATTAAAATATTATATATGATAGATCACAGCACAATCTGTTTTGCATGTGTGGGTGGTCAATGGAAAAGGAGTTCAAAGTGACATCACTATAACAAATCTCTGCCATACCCATATTTTTATTAGTGCTCTTGTCTCTTGCATCTATAATAATTATGGCAAAAATAGTAAATAAGGAGTAGATGCCTACCTAACTACCTAACACCATTCTTTTAATAAATTATACTTATGTATGGAGCTCTGGTAGCACAGTGGTTATGAATCGGCTGCTAACCTCAAGGTAAGCAATTCGAAACTATCATCTGTTCCATGGGAGAAAGATGAGGCTTTCTGCTCCTGTAAAGATTTGTAGCCTCAGAATCCCTGTGCAGGGTCACTACGAGTTGGAACCGACTCCATGGTACTTAACAACAACAACAATGAACACATTACATTTTTCAAAAATAGTTAATAGCTACCTTTAAAAATTCATAATAGATTTGTCATTTCATTGTACATATACTAGAAAAATAGAATCTAGCAGGAATATTTTCTGTTGTCACAGTAGTTTTAAAACTATAATTTAAGAGTACTTAAATGATGATCCATTATAAGATTTGGCATTGTTAAATGTCATTGAACCAGTTCTGATTCATAGTGATGCTGTACAGGGTTTGAATGCCAACCTTGTGGCTCTCAGTCTAGTGAACCTACAGCATCACACCAGGATATATTTTAAAGTAGAATGGGCAACTGGGTATAAATAAAAGTTTAGGGATAAACCACAATGATGTACTATTTCTGCTGGTATTTTTTAAATGTTTGATGGGTATCAAATCTCAGAGTACTTAGAGTCTATTGAATGTATTTAAAGAAACAGCACTGTTTCATTTTCAATGTCAATATTTACAACATATTAGGACTCATGTTTTTTTCAGTCATTTAAATGTACAATAAAAAATCAAATGTCAGTCAAAAACTGTGCAAGGGTTGAATTAGATCTTCAAAATTATTTTAGGGAGCATACTAGCATTCAGTTTGTAGGGTGTTGACTTACATCATTCTTGAGATATCTCCTGGCAAGCTATCTAACAGATGTTCTGCTCTCTCTAGAGCTATGCTGAACAATGGTATAGTCATTAGCAATACATGATGATTGAGCACTTGAAATATTTCTAGTCTGAATAAGTATAAAATGCACTTGGGATTTCAAAGACATATTATGACAAAAAAAAGGAGTCCTAGTGTGGCACTATAGGATAAACACTCCAGCTCAAAGTCAGTTTGAACCACGAGGTTGGCAATTCAAACTTACCAGTCACTCCTTGAAAACTTTCTACAGGGTGGCTATGAGTCAGAGCTAACTTGACAGAACTTAACAACAACCACATGATGAAAAAAATGTAAAATATCTCATTAAGATTTTTCCATTGATTTCATGTTGAGATGATATGCATGGATATATTATGTCAAATTAAAATTAATTTATTTCTTTTTACTATTTTTAGTTAGTTTATGTTACTGTGAAGTGCCATCAAGTCAGTTCCAACTCATAGCAACCCTATATAAGGTTTCCCAGGATGTAAATCTTTGCGGGAGCAGAAATTCTCATCTTTCTCCAGTGGGGCAGCTGGTGGCTTGCAGTGCCGAGCACGTGGTTAGCAGTTCTGTGCTTATCCTATTGAGCCACAGCGCACCTAATTAGCTACTCAAAATTTTACAATCATTTGCATTACATTTATATATTGAATTCTATTTCTAGAGCCATCTGTCAGCCTGACCAACACTACTTTGGGGTATTTGTTGTTGTTGTAAAGTGCCATCGAGTTGATTCTAACTCATAGCAATTCTGTATGGGGTTTCTGAGGTTTTAAATCATTTCAGGAACAGAAAGTCTCGTTTTTCTCCCACAGAGTGGCTGGTGAGCTCCAACCATGGGCTTTGTGGTTTGTAGTTCAGTGCTTATCGTATGGAGAATAGGTGACACTAACACATAATGAGTTTCTGTGAGCTAATTAAATAAGTAATGCTATTTAGATTCTATAATCACAATTACTATGACATTGTTAAAGTTCTGTGTGGCATTCTAGTAATAAGCACTGGACTTGTTGTTGTAAGGTGCCATCACAAAATCAATGGTTCAAACCCATCAAGCTGCTCTTTGAAAACCCTATACAGGGTCACTAAGGGTTGGAACAGAGTCAACAGCACTTAACAATAGCAACATGATATTTTCACTTAACTTAAAAAAACATTTTAAAAAAGCTAAAATCTGTTTAAAAATAAACATAAATATATATATATTTAAAATAAAATCAAAATAATAATGTAGTAGATAACATACCTGTCTTTTCAAAGGGGATGGAAGATTCCGTGCTTTCAATCCTTCCCAGTTAAAACCATTTAACCATCTAAAGAAATAAGAAAAGTACAGAGGAAAATTATTTACCTAATAAATCATTAGTATATCACCCTGTCAGTCAAGATCATTTGGTTGTCTGCTCCATGTATGAAACAGCGAGGCTGAAAGGGGGCAGAAGGAAACAGAAAACCATGCTGACTATCTGGTCTTACTCTAAATTGATGATCACAAACATCAAGTAGGCACTTAATGCTGTTCAGCCATCATTCTAAATATCCCTGGTACACTAATTTTCATACTCTTGTGGAGGCATCTTCCATACATTGTCGTCTCTCTTGGAACTCCTAGCACCTCATCCTCATCCTCAATCACAACTTGCTTCCTATTTCACTGAGAATACTGAAGCAAAAGCCCATTTCCAGAAGCTCCCACCACATATTTACCCTCCTTGGGCATTTGAAGGAATCATGGTGGTGCGGTGATTAAATACCCATCTGCTAACTGAAATGGTGGAGTTTCAAGCCCATCAGTCACGCTGTTTTCTCAGTGAACTAGGAAGCAAGTTTCGAGTGAGGATGCAACTCTACATGCAAACCTTCTGTCCAAAGTAACAGCTTTACTGGCTCCATGGGCTAGAAGTCCACCACTCTGTCTCATGCTCTGGTTCTTGGTTCTGCTGCTGCTGTTTCTCTGCCACTCTTCCAGTGTCACAGCTTTTTGTCCATGGGTTGGGGAGGTTCATGTGCAGAGATCATGGGTCCCAAAGGACATGCTCCATTCCTGGTTCTTTTTCTTTGAGAGTAGTGAGATCCTCCCTCCTACTTCTGAGATGATTCATTTTATATCCATGTTAGAAGCTCAAATTTTTACAATTATAATTAACTCTGCTGATATCCATAGATGAATCATATTTTCCTATCAATATTTTCTCCTGCCTTCTCTTCCTCAAACCCAGCAGGGTAGAAAAACTGTTTGGTGAGAGTTAGACTATGGCTAGAAAAGACATTAGATAATTCACGACACCACACTGGTATTTATTTACTGGTCTTTCTTGAAGGTGTCCTATCATAAAATGAATTATACTTCAAGAAAGATCTTGAAATGGTCTTTTTGATGATGAATGCAATGGTATGTCTCTTCAATTTGTTTTTCCCAATATAGTAAACTATGTAAGATTCATAATGGTTAATATTAGGTCATTTCAGTTCACTAATGCCTAGGATATCAAATACACATTTATTTTAATTCTGACAACATCAATTTTTCTAGAACGTACTTTGTACGTTCCAAGTTCTAATTATTGTTGGGTGTTTGTAGTTGTTTCTTCTCATTTTGAGTTGTGCACCATCAGTAAACAACGATTCCAGAAGCTTTGCATCAGCCACATCATTAATGTTACTGCTACCTTGAGGGGGCAGCTCTTCCCCAGTTGTATTTTGAGTGCCTTTCAACCTTAGGGTCTCATCTTTCAGCACTATATCAGTCAATGTTCCACTGATATTCATAAGGTTTTCCAGTAGCTAATCCTTCAGAAGTGGTCTGCCTCTCCTTCTTTGGAGTCTGTCTTAGTCTGGAAACTCTGCTGAAACCTGTTCACCATGGGTGACCCTGATGGTATTTAAAATACTGATAGCAAAGCTTCCATCATAGCAACACACAAGTCAGCACAGTAGGACAAACTGACATGAGTGGTGGGACCTAGACTTAGCAGAAACGAAAACAACAAAACTCTCTTCATGAGATGGTCTCTAAGTTCAGATGGGATACATTTAAGGTCATATTTTGACTAGAGTGGACTTGTTTTAATTTTCTTCAGCTTTAGCCTGAACATGCATATGAACAATTGATAGTCTGTTTCACAGTCTGCTCCTGGCCTTGGTATGATATTGAGCTTATCTACAATCCCTTCCCACAGATGTAGTCAATTTGATTCTAGTGTATTCCCTATGGTGAGGTACATGTGTATAGTCATCTTTTATGTTGTTTTTCAAAAAGGTGTTATAATTAGTAAGTCATCAGTTTGGCAAAATACTCTCATGTGACCTCCAGCAATATTTCTATCACCAAGTCCGTATTTTCCAACTATTGATCCTTCCTTTTTGTTAATAACCTTTGCATTCTAATCACCAGTAATTATTAATACATCTTGATTGCATATTTTATCAATTTCAGATTGAAGAAATTCTTCAATTTCATCATCATTGGCTTTAGTTGTTGGAACATAAATTTGAATAATGGTGGTATTAAATGATCTTCCTTGTAGGCATATAGTTTTTATCCTGTTATAGGCAGCATTGTACTTCAAGACAGATTTTGAAATGTTCATTTTGACGATGAGTGCTACACCATTCCTCTTCAGTTTATCGCTCTTGACATAGTAAACCATAAGGTTATCTGATTCAAAATGACCAATACCAGTTTATTTGTGTGTTCTGTTACATTTTTGACATTTTCCAGTTGTCTTAGATTCATACTTCACACTGGTCCTGGTGTGGTGCTATGGGCTAATGAGTTAGACTGCAAAGTCATTGAGGGTTCAAGCTCACCAGCTGGTCCTTGGAAACCCTATACTGGGTTACTATGGGTTGGAATCGACTTGACGGCACTTAACAACGACAATACTTCATATATTCGCACATTTCATGTTCTGATTATTAATGGAAATTTTCAGTTGTCTTTCCTCATTTTGAGTTGTGCCACATCAGTAAATGAAGGTCTCGAAAGCTTTACTTCACTTGCTTTATCATAATCAACCTTTCTTTGAGGAGGCAACTCTCACCAAGTTGTATTTGAAGTGTCTCCCACCTGAAGGTCTCATCTTCCTGAAATTTATCTGACAGTATTCTGGTGGTATTTATAATGTTTTCATCTTCTCTCACTATATTTGACAATGTTCTGCAGCTATTAATAAGGTTTTCAGTGGCTAATCATTAAGAAGTAATCCACCTCTACTTCCTCATTTGTGTTAGTCTGGAAGCCCCCTGAAACCTGTCCACCATGGGTCATCCTGCTGGTATTTTAAATACTGGTGGCATTGCTCCCAACACTACAGCAAAACATAAGTCAACACAGTGTGACAAACTAAGTCTATCTGAAAGCATATGGGGCAGAAAACCTATATACTTTGGCGACTTTTATGGAAAGTTTTAGATGATGTGGCACTGTGGGTTAATGCGCTGGACTGCAAAGTCAGTATGAATTGCAAGGTCGTTGGTTCAAGCTCACCAGCTCCTCCTCAGAAACCCTATAAAGTGTCACTGTAGGTCAGAGCCTACTCAATGGCACTTAACATCAACAACAATCTGGAGGCTGAAGTTCTGATGTGACACTGTAGGATAAGCACTGGATTGGTAACTGAAAGGTCAGTGATTCAAGTTCACAAGTTTCTGCTCAGAAAACCTATACAGGGTTCCCATTATTAGATAGAACAAGGAAAGAAGGGGTTCTCAAGTAACTCTAGTTATGACCTGCCTCAGCAGGAAACCAGCTTACCTCATAAGTATGGAATTTCTGAAAAAAGGGATGGGGGACAGAGGTGACTCTTTGCAAGCGGAAATGAAGTTAGTTCAGGGGGCTGGGAGAGAGAAGAAACTGTTTGTAAAAGGAAATAAAGGTAGTTAATAATAAGCTGAAACCTGAAAGACAAGACTCAGGAAATCATATATGGACTCAGTTTCCCAGATTGGCTCCTTGGGCACTTGCACAGAAATGTAGCGTAGTGGTTACGGATCAGGCTGCAAACCTTAAGGTCAGCGGTTCGAAACTACCAGCCACTCCACAAGAGAAAGATGAGGTTTTCTACTCCCGTAAAGATTTACACCCTCAGAAACCCTGTACAGGGTCGCTATGGGTCGGAACCGGCTCAACGGCACTTAACAACAACAACAGCTCTGACAAAGGGATGTATAAAGAAGAAGCCAAATTGTATTCAGGGCTGCACCTCCTCTTTCACAAGATGGATGTCCTCCCTTACCTCTCTGTAAGGATGTCTATGCTAATAAACCTATCTTTCATTCCCCTAAGCCTCTTCTCTAACTTCTTTTGTGTGAGGTGAGTGTGTTATATCTTCCCAATTTTTTTGGAAGGACATGTCCAAGGACTTCAATTCAACCAAGACACCATGAGTTGGAATCAACTAGACAACTGGACTTAATATCATCTGGAGCAAGAGAGATTTTTCAGTATTTCTTTTCTCTCTAGCTTTATACTTTGAAATGCTGGAAACAGAATGAAATGAAGTTTACAAGTTATCTGTGCTCACTAGAAGATAAGTTTTGTGTAAGTTTGTTGTTAGATACCATTGAGTCAATTCTGAACCATCGTAATCCTATATAGAGTTCCCAGGAGTATAAACCTTTATAGGAGAAGACAGCCTCATTTTTACCACTGTAGAGTGGCTGGTGAGTTTTAACTACTCAGTGCATATCCTACAAAGTCACTAGTATTCCTTTTTTGGTATATCCTATTAGTGAACTCTACCCTATACACCTACCCCACCCTTAAGTGGGAAATGACTTTCAGACTATTAAGAAACTGGAAATTAGGTCCTACAGAAAAGGAAATTCAAAACTGTTTTTAACTGGGTAAGGTGAGAAAATCTTTTAGCAGCAATTTACATGTGCATCCAATTATGGATTTGACAGCTACATTTAAATGAGCCTCAGGTAAATAAGAAGTCAGAGATAAAGCTGGAATGTGTTAACAATTATTTAACTTCTATTTCCTAATTAATCCTAGAGCAAAATGTGAAAATGCTAAATGAAAGAAAGCAGAGAAGTATATTGAAACAATGCCTTTAATTTACAGGGCATGTGCTTCCTCAATATGAATATTGTATTTATATGTCATTTTATAATGAGAAAAGAAATTGCAGGAACAGCATGTAGTGTGGGAAGAAAAATAAATTGGAATCTAAAGCAAATAATGACCTTTGGAACTGAAGGCAGTCCAAAGGATGACAAACACATTAAAATACTACAAGCATTTTGATGGTTATAAAATCCATAGATAGGTCTGTGTCTCATTTCCATTCCTTCTTCCTCTTTTTTGGCCCCGACTCCATTCTATCCTAAAACATTCGTAAAGCAGAGTCACAAATGAATTTACAATGCTGAATACTTGGCTTTATTTCAATAAGCTCATGAATAGATAGAGCTGGGTTGGTAGCTTAGAGATTTTTTTTTCTATATTGTTTTTTGAAGCTGCACCATGACTGTGAGGGCAAATAAATAGAGTTTTATTCTGCTGCATCTCTAGGTTTATTTTCACACTGCATTGATGTGTCCCTAATTTTTCAGAAAAAATATCCACAGAGAAATGAAATAATGAAAAGACATTTTCATATCTGAAAGTGTATATATCAGTGTACTGAAAGGTTCTCAAAATTAATTCCCCATATTTATTTTTATACTGTTAATTTATTCTAATATTATATATCTGCAAATGATATTCAAAACTAAAACATTTTGAGGTTTGCAAGAATTATCTAAGCATTGGCTTATGAGTTTTTATGAAGGTTTGAACTGTCACAATTAAACATTTAACTAAATTAGAGAGGCTGGCTTATAAAAATTATCAATTGTTTTGAAGGCCAGCATTAGAAATTCACAAAACTGGAAAAGTGCATGTTAGAATACTTCATAAGGGTAAGACATTATTTGCAGTTTGTGGAAATCAATGTACTTGACCCCAAAAATGAAATATGATATGAGGTGTCAGGATTTGGAAAGATATTCAAAGAAAAATTATTCTAAAAATAAATATAAAGATGCAGCTTTCTGCTCCCATAAACTTTTACAGCCTCAGAAACCTGCTACAGGGTTGCTATGAGTCCATCGAACTAGATGGTCCTCAACAGCAACAACAACAAAACTGAAGATGAATAAAATTTAACAATGGCTTTATCTGTTTCATTCTCTTGAATTGCCGTTGTTGTTAAGCACCATCAAGTCTATTCTGAATCATAATGACCTTGGATAGTGTTTCCAAGGGACAGCTGGTTGGTTTGAACTGCCAGCCTTGTGGTTTTCAGTTCAGTGCTGATCCTACAGCACTGCACTAGGAATTCTTCTCTTGAATACTGACTGTTTTATTTTTGCTAAGTGCAGTCCTGTCGTTTCAACTCATAGTGACCCTATATGGGGTTTCTGAAGAGCAGCTGGCGTGTTTGAACCACTAACCTTTCAGTTAGTAGTTCAGTACTTATACAGCAGTGAAACAATGACTATAACCTACATTATCTACAAATTATATGAAAAACTTTGAGTGTGGTGACTCCATAGGATAAGCACTGGACTTCAAACTGCAAGGTTGGTGGTGTGAGCCCATCAGCTACTCCTCAGGAGTAAGATGAGGCTTTGTGCTTCTGAAAAAAGATTTAAAGCTTCAGAAACCCCATACAGGGTCCTTATGAATCTTACCCAACTCCTCAACAATTAACAACAACAACAAATTTGTAAAAGCTAGAGCCTAATTTCTTTATAAGCTCCAAGGAGATATACTTAAAATACTTTTTAAAAAAGTACCAATGAACAAAAAGTTCAGTTACTATGATCTGTAGATGTGATTTTATAACCTCTTTCTATAACTTTAACCATATTTGACATGGAATGCCAGTAGTTCTATAAATCTCCATTAATTCTGGCTTTAGAATAATCACTTTGAAAATGATAACTTTAATTGTCTCGTAACACACAGAGGAAAACCAAAGTATCACAATGAAAACCTGAAATTTTGTAAAGGGACCTTAGCAACCTACTGAGAGAAACTGTCAAGATTACTATACTTTTGGGGGCAGAGAAGTAACTGTGATACCTGTGTTTCTTAATGTCATTGATGCCATTCTTCAGATTTCCCAGCCGTTCTGTTGGATTTTGCCTAAAATAAAATTTTTTGAAAGGCTGTTCAAAATGGTTATGCATGTGTTAATTTTAAACTAAAATTTAACATTTATTCATTCATTCATTTTTTCATCATTCAACAATATACACTTCCTTCTGTAGAACAACCCTCCCTCCTACCCTGGAGAAGTCCATAGTTAGTTAGTTAGAGTTAGGGGTACATGTTTGTGTGTTAAGCAAAAGGTAGGAAGTTGGAGTCCACCCAGAGGTAACTTGAAAGAAAGGATTGATGATCTACTTCTGAAAACACAGTCATTGAATGATCTATGGCGTATAGATCTATGACACACATGGAATTGTGATGAGTCAGTCATCTTGATGGCAATTGGTTTTAGGGTGTGTATGTGGGTACCATAGTACTTTGAGGGAGATAGGAAATAAGAATAAATGCATAAAAGAACAAAAGAATACTATTTTTCCAACTCTGCAGAGAAAATTGGGGAATAATTCAGAATATCAATAGCATCTAATCTAACATCTTATAAGTATGTAGGAATTCCTTTTGACAGGATGCAGCTAGTTTTCACATTCTAAATTACTAAATTTTAATGTTTTTGAAAATGGTACAAATGCAGACATACAAAAAAGAAACAGTGTCAACATGAAATTAAAACAAAAATTTAAGAAGTCTCTTGTTCTGTGATAAATTCTTTTTAATGGACTGCAAAAAAATGCCACCAACATACCTCCCCGAGCACTCTATTTAACTGGGTTCAAAAATTCATTGCAATGGCCAAATGGAACTCAGACACCATACTTATAGTTATGGGGTTTATTAAGAAAGTTAGCAGGTTACAATTCAGGGTCAAAAATGTTCAGGGCACAGTATTTCCAGTCAGGACAGCCTCTCCTTAGCCATGTCTGCTTTTGAATTATCTTTAGCACAATTTTACTTGCATGGGGTTAATGATATTGTCCTATGACTTCCTCATTTTGTTAGGTCAGTTCTCTTTGGAATGGGCACAAATATGGATCTCTTCCAATCAGTTGGCTACATTGTTATCCTCCAAATTTCTTGGCATAGATGAGTGAGTGCCTCCAGTGTTGCATCAGTTTGTTGAAAGATTTCAATTTGTATTCCATCAATTCCCGGTGCCTTGTTCTTTGCCAATGACTTCAATGCAACTTGGAATTCTTCCTTCAAAGTCGTTGGCTCTTGATCATATGGTACCATTTGAAATGGTTGAACATTGACCATTTCTTTTTGGTACAGTGACTCTGAGTATTCCTTTCATCTGCTTTTGATACTTCCTGCATCATTAAGTATTTTGCCCATAGAATTCTTCAGTATCGCAAGTTGAGGTTTGAATTTTTCTTCAGTTCCCTCAGCTTGAGAAATGCTGAGTATATTCTTCCCTTTTGGTTTTCAAACACCAAGTCGTTGCATATTTTTTAATAATATTTTACTTTGCCTTCTTGAGCTGATCTTTGAAATTTTCTGTTTAGTTCTTGTACCGCTTCACTTCTTCCATTAGCATCTCTATGCTAGAGAGCAAGTTTCAAAGTCTCTTCTGACATCCATTTTGGTCTTTTCATTCTGTCTTGGCTTCTCAATGACTTTTTGCTTTCTTCCTGTATGATGGTCTTGATGTCATCTCACAACTCTTTTGGTCTTCAGTCTTCAGTGTGTAATGAAATGCATCAAATCAGTTTTTCAGATGATTTCTAAATTCAGGTGGGTAAATTACTGGTTATGAATCAGGCTGCAAACCTTAAGGTCAGCAGTTCGGAACTACCAGCCATTCCGTGGGAGAAAGATGAAGGTTTGTGCTCCCGTAAAGATTTACAGCCTCAGAAACCCTGGTCGCTATGAGTTAGAACCGACTCCACACCACATCACCACCATATTCAAGATCATAGTTTGTTTCTCATAGACTTGTTTTCATTTTCTTCAGTTTCAGCCTGAATTTGCATCTGAGCAATTGATGGTGTGTTCCATAGTCTGCCCCTGGCCTTGTTTTGGCTGATGATATGGAGCTTTCCCACCATCACTTTCCACAGATGTAGTCAATTTGATTTCTGTGTATTCCATCTGGTGAGGTCTATGTATACAGTCTTATTTTATGTTGTTTAAAAATAGTATTTTCAATGAAGAAGTTATTGGTCTCGCAAAATTCTATCATGCAATCTCCAACACCATTTCTATTACCAAGGCCATATTTTCCAACTACTCATTCATTCTCTTGGTTTCCAACCTTTGCATTACAATCACCAGTAATTACCAATACATCTTGATTGTATGTTTGATCAATTTCAGACTGAAGAGGTTGGTAGAATTCTTCAATTTCATCAACACTGGATTTAGTGGTTGGTATGTAAATTTGAATAAAAGTGATATTAACTGGTCTTTCTTGTAGGCATATGGATATTATCCTATCACAGACAGCATTTTACTTCATGACTGATCTTGATATGTTCTTTTTGATGATGAATGTGATACCATTTCTCTTTAATGTGCCATTCCTGGCAATGTAAATCATGTGATTGTCATGTCAAAATGGTCAATATCCGTCAATTTCAGCTCATTAATGCCTAGGATATTGATGTTTATACATTGCATTTCATTGTGACAATTTCCAATTTTGTTATTCATATTTCATACATTCAATGTTCCAATTATTAATGCATTTTTATAACTGTTTCTCTTCACTTTGAGTTATGCCCTATCAGCAAATATAGGTCCAGAGGGCTTTACTCCATTCGCATCATTACTGTCAACGCTACTTTGAGGAAGCAATTCTTCCCTAGTCTTATTTTGAGTGCCTTCCAATATGAGGGCCTCATTGTCAGGCACTATATCTGACAATATTCTGGTGCTCTTCATCATAGTTCAATATGCAATAATCTGGTGCTGACCGTGTTCCATTGTTATTAATGTTTGCAGTGACTAAATATTCAGAATTAGTTTGTCTCTCCTTATTTCTAGTCTGTCTTCATCTGGAACCTCAGCTGAAATCTTTCCACAATGGGTCACCCTGCTGATATTTAAAACATCAGTTGCATAGCCTCCAGAACCATAACACCACAAAAGTCACCACAGTATGACAAACTGAAAGATTAGTGGTTGTGGCAAACATTATGCTGAGTCAAATTAGTAAATCACAAAAGGACAGATTATTTTGTGAGACCACTTTTGTAAAAGCTCAATGAACTGTTTTCATGCTAAAAGAAATATTCTTTGTTGGTTACTAGGGATGGGAGAGAAGAGAGAGTAATTTACTGGCTAGAGGGTAAACACATGCTAACTCAGGTGGCAGGAGCACAATATAGAAGAGAGAGGTTGGCAGATGAGTAATGAAAACAGCTGAAGACACAGGGAAGAATGTAAAGATTAAAGGGACTGTAAGTAAATACTATTATATACACAACCTGGAACAATAGTGTTCTACAAGTAGATACATGGGCAAATATATTTGTCAAACAGGTATAGGGGAGAGAGAGGGAATTTACTCACAAATATGTAAGAGTTTCACAGAAGATATTAGTGCATGAATATGTGTCTTTGCTGCAAATGTGTCTATGAACAGAGTAGAGCAGGAGGAGGGGGATGATGAAAACCTCTTAAATATTATGAGACATCTTAAGGCAATGAGTTTTTGGGCTGGGAGCTCAGGACCATAGTCTCAGGGGACACCATGGTCAACTGGCATAACATATTCCACAAAGACAATGGTCTACATTCTACTTTAGTGAGTAGATACTGGGATCTTAAAAGCTCATGAGTGACCATCTAAGGTGAAAGTATTGGTCTTTCCATTTTGGGAAGAAAGAAGAGTCATAAAAATTGATGATGCTTGGAATCAACTAGTCCAATGGACCAATGGAGCAGAAAATTAGATGAGAATTTGACGAGAATAATTTGATGGTGGCTGGCTACCACTACTAGCTGCTCTGAAAGGGATCACATTAGAAGGTCCCAAATAGAGTGGGAGAAAATGATGAGCAAAACTCAAAATTATATAAATCGATCGGCTTTACTGATTAGAAAGAGACTAGAGGAATCCGAGACTAGTGTCTCAGGTCTGGAATGGAATTCACCCTTGTAACTAAATTTTCAGCCAAGTAGTAGATGGGCATATAGGGGAAGCAACAACATTAGTTAAGTATGTTCACCACGGAACGGTCAACCATTTAATCTCAAAGTTGAGATGGGATGAGAAGGGTGGAACGGAAATAAGAACCACATGGAGGAAGCAGGATAACATCGAGAAAATTGCAATAATTGAGATAAACAAAGTGTATGATTTGTTGAACTGGAATACTGATGACATTTTGTATAAATTTCCACTCAACTCACAATAAAACGTTTTGTTTTTTTTAATTGGGGTAATTTAAAATGAGGCCAGAAGAGTATTTTAATCAATTTTGAGAAGGCAGAAAACTTTGTTATCACTACTCTTTCTCTCAAAATAGCAAGGTTGTATATAAGTATTTTTTTAATCTAAGTTTTCTGGTTTAGTTGTGATCTAAGTTTTTGCTGTTATGAGGTACCCTTGAGTTTTCCCACTCTCAGTAACCCTATGCACAACAGAACAAAACATTGCCAGTCTTATGCCATCCTCACAACTCCTTCTGTCTATTTTGAAGCCAATGTTTCAATCCATCTCCTTGAGGGCCTTCCTGTATTTCACTGAACTTCTATTTTGCTAAGCATGATGTCCATCAGGAATTGGTCCCTCTGGATAGCCTGTCCAATGTAAATGAAAAGAAATCTTGTTGTCATCCTTGCTACTAAGGATAATTCTGGCTATACTTCCTAAAAGTCATTGTTCATTCTTCTGGCAGTCCATGGTATAGTCAATATTCTTTAACACCATAATTCAAATGTATCAACTCTTCTTTTTTCTTCCTATTCATTGTCCAATTTTCTCATGGATAAGAGGTAATTGATAATGCCATGGCTTGAGTCAGGCCACCTTAGTCCTCAAAGTGACATCTTTGCTTTTTAACTCTTTTGAAAAATCTTTTGCAACAGATTTGCACAGTGCAATGCATCTTTACTGTTGCTTCCATGGGTACTGATTGTTGTTGCTGTTAGGTGCCATCCAGTTGGTACTGACTCATAGCAATACTATGCACAACAGAATGAAACATGCTCAATCTTGGGCCAACCTCCCAATCGTTGCTACATTTGAGCACACTGATGTTGCCACAGTACCAACCCATCTCGCTGGGGGTCTTCCTCTTTTTCTCAACCTCTCCACTTTATCAAACATGATATCCTTCTCCATTTACTGGTCTCTCCTGACAATATGTCCAAAGTATGAAAGATGAAGTCTGGACATCCTGGTTTCAAAGGAGCACTCTGGCTGTACTTTTTCCAACACAGATCTGTTTGTTCTTTCGGCAGTCCATGGTAATTTAAATATTCTCCACCAACATCATAACTCAAATGCATCAATTCTTCTATGCCTTCCTTATTCACTATCCAACTTTTGCATGCATATGAGATTACTGAAAATGCCATGGCTTGGGTCAGGTGCACCTTAATCCTCAAAGTGAAATCTTTGCTCTTCAACATGTTAATGAATTCTTGTGCAGTAAATTTGCCCAATGCTATATACCGTTTGTTTTCTTGACTGTTGTTTCCATGAATGCTGATGGTTGGTGTGAGCATAATGAAGTCATTGACAACCTGAATATTAATCTATTTATATGGATACTATTTATTGATCCAGTAGTGAGGAATTTTGTTTTATTTATATTGAGTTGCAACCCATACTGAAGTCGATGGTCTTTGATCTTCATCAGTATTTTAAGTCCTTTTGGCTTTCAGCAAGCAAGGTTGTATTATCCACATAGCACAGGTTGTTAATGAGTCTTCGTCCAATCCTGATGTCACGTGTTCATTCATGTAATGCACTGATTGTGGATACAGCTAAAATGGAATTTTTTAGGGCTTCAATATTTTCTTCATTTATCATGATGTTTATTATTGACCCAATTGTGATGACTTTTCTTTATAATGAGGTGCAACTAAAGGTCATATAGTCTTTGATCTTCATTAATAAGTGCTTCAAGTCATCTTTACTTGAAGGCAGTGTCATCTGCGTATCAGAGGTTGTTAATGAATCTTCCTCCATTCTAATGCCATGGTCTTCTTCATATTCCAGATTGTCTAATTATTTGCTCAACATATAGATTTAATAAGTATGGTGGAAGGATACATTCTTGATATACACCTTTCCTGATTTGATCATTCAATATCCTCTTGTTATGTTTGAAAAACTGTTCCTTGGTCTATGTACAGAGTCCACAGGAGTATAGTTAAATGTTCTGTAATTCCATTTACAATGTTATCCATAATTTACTATGACCCACACAGTCTAATGCTTTTCCATAGTCGATAAAATCAGATAGACATCTTACTGCTATTCTCTGCTCTAAGTCAAGATCCCTATTTCATCAGCAATAAAATCTCTTATTACATGTTCACTTCTGAATCCAGCTTGAATTTCTGGCAGTTCTCTATAAATGTAATTCTGCAAAGCATTTTTTTTTCCCAGCACAATTTTATTTGCATGTGATATTGATAACACTGTCCTAATATTTGCACATTCTATTGGGTTATTTGCTTTGGACTGGGCACATATACAGTAGTTTTCTAAATTTCTTGGCATGGATAAGTGAATGCTACTATTTGTTGAAACACCATGACTGGTATTCTGTCAGTTTCTAGTGCTTCATTTTCTTAGGTTTCATAGACTTACCTTAATTTTCTTTACCCTCACTTTGAACTTGCATGTGAACAACTAGTGGTCTGGTCTGCCATTGGCCACTGGTCTTATGATTATTGATGATAAGAAGTTTCTCTAATGTCTATTTCCATAGTTTGTAGTCCTCTAGATACATATATATTCTGTCTGGTGAAGTCCTTGTTGTTGAAAAAAAGTATTTTCAATGAATAAGTCATTGTTGTAAAATTCTATTTGGTGTCATTTTTATTAACAAAATCACACTTTCCAACTATTGATCCTTCTTTTCTGTTTCTAACTTTCACATTCCAATCTCCAGTAGCTATCAATACATCTTGATTGCAAATTGATCATTTCCTGCTGCAAAAGTTGATATGAAATCTTCAGTTTCTTCATCTTTGGCAATAGTAACTGGTGTAAACTTGGATAATAGTCATATTAACTGGTCTTTCTTGTTGCTGTTGGTGTTAAGTGTTATCAAGTTGATTCTGACTTACAGTGACCCTGCATAGTTTCCAAGGAGCAGGTGGTGGCATTGAAACTGCTGACCTTGTGGTTTGCAGTCCAGTGCCAAACCAAATATCCTACTCGTAGGTATATGAATATTATTATGTTGTTGTTCCCACTGCGCTTCAGAATACATGCGGAAATGTTCTTTTGGATGATGAATGTAACCACTCTTCTGTCAGTTTGTCAGATTGTAGTGTGGTGACTTACGTGTTGCTGTGATGCTGGGAACTATGCTTCCAGGATTTCAAATGCCATCAGGGTCACCCACTATGAACAGGTTCCAGACTAAGACAGACTAAGAAGATGGAACTAAAGGTCTACTTCTGAAAAAAAACTGTCTTTTGAAAACCTCAAGAATAACAGGGAAATACTATATGATACAATGCCAGAAGATAATCCTCTCAGGTTGGAAGGCAGTCAGTATACCAGTAGGAAAGAGTTTTGCATCCTTAAAGTAGAGTGGACCTTAATAGCATGGATGGAATAAAGCTTTGGCAACATATATTTAGGGATGTAACAGGATTCAAAATGAAAGAAATAACTGCACACAACCATTAATGATCAGAACGTGGAATACACAAAGTATAGATCAAGAAAAATTAGAAGTTATCCAAAACGAATGGAAAGCATGACAATCAGTATCTTATATATTGTTGTTGTTAAGTGCTGTCGATTCAGTTCTGACTCATAGCAACCCTGTATAGGGTTTCCAAGTAGCAGCTGGTGAATTTGAACTGCCAACCCTGTGATTCAAACTGAACTTGCAGTCCAATGTTTATCCTACAGTGCCAACCAGAACTCCATCCTATGCATTAGTGAGCTGAAATGGACTGATATTAGACATTTCACTCTATAGCAGATAAAAATAATTTCCAAATGTAGCCTAAAAATGTGGGTCTCTTTCATTTAGTTTTATAAAGTGATACAAATGGTTTGCCCTGGACTACTAAGTGCGAACTCATTTAGATTACAACCAAGAAAACTCTATGTGTTCAATTCTACTCTGTAACACAGGCTACTATGATTTGAAATGGACTTGATGGCAACATAATTATTTTTCAGTTTTGGTAATTTTGTAATGTGAGGTAAACTTGAGCTCCTAAATTAAACCACAAATCAGAAAGTTACTTTCTTTAACTGTAACTTAACTACACAGAAACATACAAAGTAAACATGTACCTAATTTTACAATGCATGAATACAGACATTGTAGGCCTTCATACCATCACCAAGACGAGGGGTTATATAAGTTCTTATTCCTATCATTATCATTCTCACCTGCAAAGTCTCCGAATCAAATCCTCAGGTCGCCTTGTTATCTTTCTGGGAAAATCCATTTTTTCAATTCCTTTGAGAATTAAATTATACGTCATCATTTGGTCAATCCCAGAAAATGGTGGGCTAAGAAAAGTCCAAAACCGAGCATATTAGAACCAGAGTCCAAGGCACATTTAGAAATTATTCCTCTTTCCCTTTCTTAATTATTTTCTTTAGTTGTTTTATAACCAATTGCATATATGTGTGAAAATCATTCAGCTAATTTCATAGCACTTTACAGATCACACACACATATAATTTGTGAGGTGATGATACTCACTAAACAGAAAAATCAGGGAGTAGAAAGTGACAGGTATGCTTTTTTTTAAGACAGACTTGATAGACAAAGTCTCTCTGATAAGTTGACAATTAAGCAAAAGTATGAATGAAGAGAGGAAGTAAATGAACTAGTCAGTATCTGTGAGTAGAGCAACTACAAAGGCCATGAGTCAGGTGTATGCAAGGTGTGTGTGTTCCTGGAACAGAGAAGGGCAGTGTGGCTAGATGGAGTAAGTGAGTAGGCAACGAATGTAGGAGATGATGGTAGCATCCTCTAGATGGAATGAGCTATTGGAAGAATCTGGGAAAATATTTAGAGTCAAATGATCAACTGATAACAGCTAAGGTAAGTTGCTTCATGTTTTGCTTGCTTGTTTTTATCTTTGGAGAATGAACAGTGGTGGTAGTGTTTGTGGTCATGGTCCTGCATGGTTGGTGGTGGTGGGAAAGGAAAGCATGGTAGCTTGGACTAGGATAGTAATGGAGAAGGTGTTGAGATATGGTTGGATTCTAGATCTACTTAGATGGTAAACCAACAAGATTTGCTAATAGGTTTAAGAAAGAAAGGATTCAAGAATGATGCTAAAGTGCTTTAGTGTGGTTGCCTCTAAGAATTGAGTTGTCAGTTACTAAGAGGAAAAGGACTATGGTGGCAGGGAAAGCAAGTGTGGCAAGGGAAGTCAATAATTCTGTTTTGAGCCCGAAGTTATATTTATGAATCTGACATTTAGGGTATAGCTCAGGGCTTAGGTATGATGTTGAATAGTCATCAATCCGTATTTATGGCCATGGACTTGATGCCATCCAGACAGTGAGTAGACAGAAAAGAAGATTGAAATGGTCCAATGTTGAAAGGTCAGACAAATAAGAATGGTCAAGTAGTTGAGACAGAGCAGCAGCCATCATTAGGGGAAGAAAAGTGAGTTAAAAGGAGGTGCTAGGAGACAGGATGTTTGGGCCAAGTGGCAGCATCAATGGGCTCAAACGTGGCAACGATAGTGAGGTTGGCCCAGGATCGGGCAGTATTTTGTTCTGCTGTGCATAAGGTCGCTATGAGTCAGTACCATCTTGATGGCACCTAATAACAACAACAACAAAAGAGACAAGTAAAGAGAAAACTTTAAGGAAAGAGTTGCTGAAATGAATAAGATCACAGAGAATTGACCAATGGTCTGTGATAACATTTTAAAGCAGACACTGTACTTTAAAAAATATTGTATACTTTTCAATCTATTTAAGTTGCTATTGTTTTGAAAATCAAAGCCAACTTCTAGAAACTCGACTGCTGTATCTTGTTTATACTTGAGGCCTTTTGACACTGAGAATTAACACCCTTGGTTATTAAACATAAAACAAAGTCAATGTACCAACTTTTCAGCTACCTATATTTCACTTGTAAAAAAAAAAAAAAAAAAAAAAGAGGAAGGAAACAAAAACTATTACTATTTATGTTTTCAAATTCTTGAAATATTTAGTTATACTATAACATCAGAGTCCTGGTGTGGCACTGTGGATTAAAGCACTGGACTACAAGGTTAGTGTGAACGACAAGATCTGCTGTTCAAACTTACCAACCACTCCTAAGATACTATAGAGGATTGTTATGAGTTGGAACCAACTCAGCGGAGCTTAACGACAACATACTATAATATGGTATCTTTTTTCCCCTTTTTTCTGTTTTAATTTATCACCTGACTTTCTAGCATTCAAGGCACATTGAAAATAATTCATGCCCTTCTCTGAAAACCTTTACAAAAACAATTTCTCAACTGTTTTATTTATTCACTTGTTTTATCAAGGCCGTCTTAACAACTCCAGTATATTGTGTTGTTTTATTTTGGCTTTACCTAGCTTTTCCTCCCATTCTTTATTCCCTCACTAAATTATTTCTCTACATCTTGCAAACATTTTGGAGCCCTGGTGGTATAGTGGGTTGGACTGCTAACTGAATGGTCAATGGTTTCAATCTACCAGCAGCTCCATGGGAAAAAGACTAGATAGTCAGGTTCATTAAAGATTTACAGTTTCAGAAACCCTCTGGGGTTTTCTACTCTATAGAACGGGGTGAGATGTGGTGGGAATTGACTCAATAGCAGTGGGTTTGGTTTTGGATTTTCATAACCATTTATCCCAGCAGATGGAGACTGAGCTGTGCATCTTATTCTCTAGTTACTCATCCTAGTAACTATCCTGCATCTTTTAGAAATGCTGTTGACAATATTCCTAGGAATAAGGAAGCAAATACTTGAAATACAAATCCTTGAGTCCCAACACATTAGGCAACTTTTTTCTCTCAATGGCTCGAAGACTTCCTCTTTATTTCTTAGCAAACTCTTTACAGACAATACAAAATAGCCTCTCATATTTGCTTGATCAATACATGTTAATAAGAAAGTAGAATCCACAGGTACCCAAATATTAAAAACTGTAACTGTAATGCAAGCAATTCAAAAAAATGCTATGAAACACTAATTTTGTAGAGTATTATGGTGACTTGTATCCTCATCAATGGTATTTTTTTATGCCATTTCATATGTGACTCCTCCTTGAAAAGAAGAATAAGAATATTTGATAATAAAGCATTATTGCTGTTGTTGTTAAGTGCTGTTGAGTTGGTTCCGGCCCATAGAAACCCTGTATAGCACTTCTGAGGAGCAGCCGGTGAGCTTGAACTTCGCAGTCTAGCATATTAACCCACAGCACCATACCAGGACTCCAATAAAGCATTATAAGGACAATAAAATCAGTTAATGAAGAATTCAAGTGAAAAACCTGCATTACAAAAAGAACACTGATCTGCAGTCTTTGTACATGTATTTACACATTATATTAGAAATATGGAGTCCTGGTGTGGTGCTGTGGGTTAATGCACTGGATTGCAAAGTCACTTTAAACCACAAGGTCGGCAGTTCAAGCTCACCAGCTGCTCTTCGGAAACTCTACACAGGTTCATTATGGGTTGGAATGAACATGATGGCATTTGACAACAATAACAACATGTGTAATGGAAAGCACATCACATTTAGAATCTGAAGACCTGGGATCATATCCCTGATCTTAAATAAATAGCTCTCTGACTTGCTTTTCTATTCTATAAAACTTAAATAATAAAATGTTAATTAAAATTTAAATCATATAATAGTAAAAATCCCAGGCTTATCTTAGCACATATTTATTAAAATTAAATTAGCACATGCAAGTGCTTGAAACCTTAAAGTGTTTTACAAATGTAATATTACATAAAGTGTGTGTGTGTGTGTGTGTGTGTGTGTGTCTTTGTGTGTTATGTATGTGGGATCCTGAATTCATTAACACAGCCTTTTAATCTCTTTGGGAATGACAATTCAATTTTAACTGCTAAAACCCCTGCTGTGTCTTGTCTCTGTTCATTAGCACCTCTAGCAAGGAGTTGACAAGGGAATTAAAATTTATATCCAGCAATGCTGCTTTCTCTTAGAACTTCTGATTAATTATCTGTTGGGAAGATTGAAGAAGAACCTAGCTAAATTTAGTTTAATTGATTAAATATATTTAACTATGATTGCTATTTCCCCAATTATTTAAAAAAAAAAAAAGAAAGAAAGAAAGAAAAAAGAGGAGATAATACATAGCCAACAACATTAATTCCTTCTTTTTATGATTATAAAAACCATCATAAACTTAAAATGTTATTTAAAACACTGTTGTTGCTGTGTGCCATGAACAGGTTCAGACTCTTAGCAACCTTGTATAGGGTTTCTAAGAAGCAATTTATTATGAGTTTGAACCATCAGTCTGTGGTTAGCAGTCCAGTGTTTATCCTACAGTGCCACACCAGGATACCAGTGTTGTTGTTGTTAAGTGCTGTCAAGTCAATTCCGACCCATAGCTACCCTGTATAGGGTTTCCAAGGAGCAGCTGGTGAGCTTGAACCATGGACCTTGCAGCTCAAATGACTTTGCAGTCAGTCTGACACAGTAACCCACAGCGCCACACCAGGACTCCAGGATACCAGTACACCTGGCCATTTTAGGAAAACCATAACAATTCCATATTCCTTTTCTTTTACTTTGTTGGATCTTTCCTGCATGCTATCTATAAACTCAAAGCAGGTTGTATGTGAGTTAATGTGAAGAGGAAGACATCATGTTTATATAAAAAATATTTTTAAAAATATTAAATTACTAAAGTGTATTAATTTACCATTAGCAATTTTGTTTTTCATTTCTCTGAAGAAGTTGACACATGACGACACTTACTTGCCAGTGAGGAGCTCATACACAAGAATCCCCAAGGACCAAAAATCCACACTAAAGTCATGTCCTTTGTTGAGAATGACTTCAGGAGCGACATACTCTGGAGTCCCACAGAATGTCCATGTTTTTTGTCCAGATCCTATTTTCTTTGCGAACCCAAAGTCAACCTGTCAAAGAATGGCAAAGAAACAGTCAGAGACCATAAAATGCGTGCTCCTTTGTAAGTGTCCCTATGATTTCCAATCATCTTTCTATACTACACACACATTGTGTCTCTTATTTAATCTCCTGAAGAGTTAAGTGTACATCTACGTGCACTGAAAACATTCCAAACATACACCTCCACACCCACCACCTCTAGAGGACATGAGGAATAATTTAGCAAAGAGGAGTCATGACAGTACATTTGAAGCTGAAGACAAGAGAAACTAAAATACTTTTCAAATCAATGGTGGCATTTATTGGAAAGAAGAGAGGAGATAGTCATGGAACATTGTGCACTAAAAATTCCATCAACAAAGGAAAGACAATAGCAGAATTGGAAGTGTATTAAAAAGAATTGTTAATTGATTGCTTTATGTCCCTCCAAATGATATGTTCAAGGCCTCACCTGTTGCTACCTATGAATATGACCTTATTTGGAAATAATATTTTTGCATATTTTGCTGTTCTTAAGTGCTATTGAGTTGGTTCCAACTCATAGAGACCCTGTATAGGATTTTTGAGGAATAACTGGTGGGTTTGAACTGCCGACCTTAAGGATTGCAATCCAGTGCTGATCTTACAGCACCAGAGTAGGAGTCTTTGCATATTAAGTTGTTAAGTGCC